CATTCACGCACACATTCACGCACTGGTGATGGCAGCTACATTGTAGCCACAGCTGCCCTGGGGCGCACTGACAGAGGCGATAAGATAAATATAACAGATAACAGATTAGATAAATATAGCATCCGGTTCACTTACACCCTGGTTTTGTATCACAGTTGTCAAAGCAATCACTCACAGCCACATGTAGAATTTCTGGAGTGAAATAGTGAAAAACTTTATTTGTGGATGTGTATGCACAACTCAAAATCAGGACTCATGTAAGCTTTGGTGGTCACAAGATGGTGCTAGAGATTACAGTTCCATGTTGTTTACCTCATTGATGGCAAGTTGCTCTCCTCCGCCTCCTCCTGGGTGTCCGTAACGATGTCCAGATCCTCGAAACTCATCATAGAGGAGGTCCTCTTCACTGCTCAGGTCATCCCCAAACGCTGACTTTTCAAATGTGCCATCAGGAGCGACTGCAGCTGAGTCAGGAAAAGACAGAAAAAGAAACAGATGTCTTCACATGTGTTTGTAATTTGATTACATTCGATTTATAATCAAGTATATCTTTGTATTTTTATGCCAGTTTTCTAAACACTAAAATATAAAACTGTACAGATGCCTGGGATTAAAATAATGCACAGAAGACAGGCAGACATTTCATAGGTTAAGCAGCCCAGTGTAATGTTAATGAGAGTTGAGTATTTTAGCACCTCCTAGTGGTTCACATGGAAACTGCAGTCAGGTGAATGCTGTGGCTTTACTCGCATCCCTTCCTGTTGGATGTTTAGGGTCACATGAGCAGGGTAATACAGGAAGCCATTTTAGTATTAGGAACGCACAATGAGGGGTACCATTAGTCTGTTTAATCCTTCAACATCCACCTGTGAAAGGACGAGCTGTGTCCTTTCACAGATTCTGGAAGAATGTCCACCAGTGAAGACACAACAGTAAACAATCCTTTACTTCCATGTCTGAGTCGTCATTCAGCGCTTTCATTGCCTCCTGCATATGTTTAGCTGTCTGTCAACTCGTGCAGAGCCACGCACGAGACAGAATACTCAGTAAGTCCAACACGCCGGCTGCCGGCTGCACAATCAGCTGCTGTTGTTCACAAGATGCAATCAGGGATATTTCATCTGCTAATCATTCTTTCTTTTCCCAAACACTTCACAACGTAACAGGTTACTACATCACAACGTAACAGGTTACTACATCACAGCACAAACATTACTTACTGAAATGCAGTCGGCAACCCTGACAACCTCACACTCTTCTTCACTTACATTTGGGCTTCACCTTTATTCTCACTTAATATAAAGGAAACCAGTCAGTCAAAATCAGGTCTCCAAAAAGTCTGCCGTCTCTTTCTCAGAGTTTTTCAAAACTTGATTCCTTAACATAAAACATCACTGTTGCATCCTGGGGCAGCAAACACGATCCCCGATTTTTCATTTTACCGTCCTTATGTTCCACTGAGTT